AACTACACATAACTCCTTCTTGTTTTCAGAACATAATAGAAACAAGACTTGAAAAACCTAAGCTAGATATTTTCCTGTTTCGTAGTTTTTTATTAGCTATTTCAAAGACACACATAAGCAAAGACAGTGATATAATGCATTGCCCACACTTTATTTACATCCTATCCAGTTTTTTTTTTTTCTTTTTTGTTGGGATTTGGGTGTTTCTACTGCCATTCCCTAAGTCAGTGGTTTTGACCCTCACCTGTGCTTTATCTTCTGGAGAGCTTTTTACATTCACAGCCCCTGCTTGCCTCCCACACCAATTAAGCCGGAATCCCTGCCAGGAGAGCCAGACACCAGTCCTGCCCCAGTGAGCGGCCAGGGCTGAGAACTAGTTCCCTAGATGAGAAGGGTGGAATCGAAGAAGTAGTATTACTGCTGAATCGTGTCCTTATATTTCAAACTCATCTTCAAAATTACTTCAAATTATTTGTGGTTTTTTTTATGTCTTTTTCATGTGTGTTTCTCTGTCTCTCATTGGTTTTAAACCTCTACTCGTTAAAATCATCATAGGATGCTTTTTAAAGAAAAAGCCTGGGCTCCCCTCCTGAAGGTTGGGCTCTAATTGGTCTGGTATGGAGCCCAGGATTTCTGGGTTTTGAAAGCACCTGAGGAGATTCTGAGTTTAGGCAGAATTGAAAGCCAGTATATTTTAATATGTCAAATACCGATCTAGCTGATCATCTGAGTCTCCTGGGGTACTTTTTAAAATTTATTTATTTATTTATTTATTTATGGAAGAAAACACATTTATGTATTTACTCGTTTCTACTTACAAGTTGGGTCACAGACATCAAGTAGACACAGTAGTGCCTGGCAATCCCTTGTCAGTCTTGGCCTAACTTCTCTTCCCTCAGATCTCCAACCATCTCCCTTTCCTTCTCACTTTCTTTCTTATTTTTTTTTTAATTAAGATTTATTTCTTTTTTTTTTTAAAGAATTTATTTATTTGACAGAGAGAGATCACAAGTAGGCAGAGCAGCAGGCAGAGATAGAGGGGGAAGCAGGCTCCCTGCTGAGCAGAGAGAGCCCGATGTGGGGCTCAATCTCAGGACCCTGAGATCATGACCTGACCCAAAGGCAGAGGCTTAACCCCCTGAGCCACCCAGGTGCCCCAACATTTATTTCTTCATTTGAGAGAGAGAGTAGTGGGGAGGAGCAGAGGGAGAGGGAGAGAGAATTCCAAGCAGACTCCCTGCCGAGTGCCCCTGAGATCATGACCTGAGTAGAAATCAAGAGTCCAATGCTTAACCGACTGAGCCACCCAGGCGCCCCTACTTCTCACTTCCAATACAATTCACAAAAGAGAAACAACTCATCTTTCCAGCACCACGTCCACCAGCCTAAGTGCATTTGTGTCCACATACTCTGCCTTCCCACTGTGGACAGAGAGGAGCTGTCCTTGTCCTCCCCAAGGTCAGGTCCTGCTGGCACACAAGAGCCAGTGTCTCCTAGGTAACTTTTAAAGCACTCATGTAATTGCCCAGCTTCATAAAGTAGGAAGAATTTTGAGGTGCTAGGAGGAGGAGAAATGAGGGGTTGACAAATGACCTTCAGAGTAATAGGTGTAAATGAGGAATCCTGTCGAGGATAGCCAAAGGACTTTTGAGAATAAGGATAAGAATGTCTAATATTTTGGAAATATTTTATTTCCGGGGCCCCTGGGTGGCTAAGTCGGTTAAGCCTCTGACTTTGGCTCAAGGCATGATCTTAGGGACCTGGGATGGAACCCTGAGTTGGGCGCCACACTCAGCTGGGAGTCAGCTTCTCCCTCTCCCTCCACCCCTCCCCCTGAACCTGTACTTTCTTTCTCTCTCAAATAAATAAAATATTTAAAAAAAGAAATATCTTGTTTCTTCTGCTGTGTTTCAATGTAAACACCTTTTCTGCTGCTTCCAACCCTTTAGAGAAGGCCGTCCCATGTGCATATAGCAACGCATGCCCACACCCACACGAACCGAATGAACACTGTCCAGGCCCCACCCCTGGAAATGCTATTTCAGGAGGTTCAAAGTGAGGCCCTGACATCAGTGCTTTAAACCCTCTCCAGGCCACTGTGCCAAGTGGCCAGGTTTGGCCCCACCAATTGTAGATGACACAACATCACAATCCATCCCATTGACATCTGGGCAAATTGATGTTGGGGAATATAATATCAATGGCAAAACTGGGTTTTTGCAACAGGGAAAAAAAGAAAATCTGACTCTTATTAGGCTTCCCTCAGATCTACTTATCTTTTTCTCTTTAAGTGACTCTATGAAGGAAGATACAACCTTTCTGAAATAGGACATTAGAAGACCAAGGAGGTGTACAGAGGAAATGAATAACAATACATTTTAAAGCAGGCTTACTCTCCTATACTATAAAAACCAGAGAGGAAGCATGATCTACAGAACAGTCATGAGCTCCAACCCAAAAATATCATTCATTCATCAAATACTGAGTGCCAACTAAGAGACAGGGACTGAGCTAGGTCCTTAGAGCTCAGGATGTGGTATGACCTCAGGAATCACAGTCTAGAAGAGACCAATAATTACCATCAGTGGGAGGAAAAATGTGAAATTACCTAGGTGGTAAGTATAGACCCAGTCCATAGGAGATTAGAGAAGCAGGAGACAAAACCAGGCTTTTGAAAGATACAATGATCAGGGTGTAGGCAGAATGGAAGGAGAGTGAGGGGGGAAATAGCATTTCTTATAAGAGTGAATGGAACTGTAGGCATGGACACCACGGCTTAAAGCAGCGTGCATGGTGTGTTGCCTGAAATATGGGTGGTTCTACAACACTGTCGTGTAACCGTCTGGAAGAGTTGGGGCAGGTGGAAGGCAGAGAGGTCGCCTTGCCCTATGGTCAGACTCCACTCACATACATCAGCCCATCGTTCTTGGGTATTATGATGAGTTCCTAGACTGGTCATAAAATGTTTGCTGAGAGATGGGCAACCAGCCTTGCTAGTCTAAAACAGAAGACATAACAGGGTGCCTGGGTGGCTCAGTGGGTTAAAGCCTCTGCCTTCGGCTCAGGTCATTGTCTCAGGGTCCTGGGATCAAGCCCTGCATCAGGCTCTCTGCTCAGCAGGGAGCCTGCTTCTCCCTCTCTCTCTCTGCCTGCCTCTCTGCCTGCCTGTGATCTCTGTCTGTCAAATAAATAAAATCTTTAAAAGAAAAAGAAATACAAGACATACAATCTCTATTTGTCAGATGCTGCTGCAAAATCCTCTTTCTCCAGACTAATCTGCTCATACCTTCCTTATTGGTACTTGACTGGATTTATGGTTAGGCTTCCTTTTTATTCTATACTCTGGAATTTTTAACGTCCTGGGACATAGGCACTTGTTTTTGTGTGTTGTGTTTGTGGTTGATCACACGACCCTGAGTTCGCTGTGAGTGTAATTTCAGTTTGGTGAGGAACTAACTTTTCACCCCACAGGGATTACATCGAGCAACATCAGTAATCCCCCACATCCCTATGGTTCCCACACAGACACCTGTTAGCTCAGCTAGCCGCCATCTCCTCTGCTCTTACCTTCCTTCAGGTGAGAACACTAGCTGTAGTTGTCGTGCACTGAATTTTTATTATAAGGTCTACAGTTCAAATATACAGACAAATACAAAGAATCATGTAACCAACTCCCATTCACTTACTGCAAGGCTTAATCAGGTCTAATCATTTTGCTCTATTTGCACCAGTTTTTACAAACTAAAACATTGTAGGTATTGTAAGTTAAAGCTCTGTCTCCTCTCGGTCTGATTCGCCTTCTTTCTGAAGGACCCACCACCCTGATCCTAGTGTTTCTCATTATCATTCATGGTTTTATACATTTACTACATATTTGTGTCCATAAAGAACATATAGCATTGCTTTATACATTTTTAAGCTTTGTTTAAATTACTGCATCCTTGAAGTATCCATCTGAGCCTTGCATTTTTATTGAAAATTAAGTTTTTGAGATTTACTGACGATGACACAAATAGATTTAGGTTGCTCTTTAAAACTACTTTATAGGGGCACCTGTGTGGCTCAGTCGTTAAGTGTCTGCCTTTGGCTCAGGTCATGATCCCAGGGTCCTGGGATCGAGCTCTGCATCAGGCTCACTGCTCAGTGGGAAGCCTGCTTCTTCTGCTTCTTCCCTGCTTGTGTTCCCTCTCTCACTGTCTCTCTCTTTGTCAAATAAATAACATCTTTAAATAAAAAAAAACTATAGCATGCAATATATCACTCTATCAAAATTTATTTTTTATTGTGTACAGGTAGACATTTGAGGGTTTTTCCCCCAATTTTGCAATGTAATAAAGCCATAGTGAACATCTTTGCACACATTTTCATGTGTACAAATGTACTAGGTTTTTATTCCTTGATCATTTACTTATATTAATAGCATTTACTATGCAGCATATGTATACATGTGTATTATAATATTGCACTGACATTTTCAACTTTTGACCTTTCACTAGTCATCAGGAATTTTCCTCCTGGAGATGTTCTGAACTGTGGAATAATTTAAGGAGTAATCAAATGTGAGTACGGCATTGGAGACGAGGATAATATACCTTCAAGAAACTTGGGGTCCGTTTAAGGACAGATCTTGCCCCTTTTCCTGATTCCTTGACATGTAAATGGTCAGTGTCAGCCCGAGTCACTATTCCCTCATATGGACTGAAAGCCAGCTGCCTGCAGAATTTAGCCACTGAATTTAATGCGAGCTGTTGTTAAAAGCACGCACATTACCACTTATTGCCCTGGAAAGAAGTCACAAGTGGGTTTGTTTTTTAATTGATTTTAACTTCATTTGATGTATTAGTGGTGGCTAGCTACTGAGCTGTATGACAGGTGCTCTGGGACATCCAGGGATGAAGAAGTCCTCCAAGAGACTCACAGTTCCCCAAAGAAGAGATGCTTAGGAACAGTCCTCTGTCAGATTTTGGCATCTGAAGTAGGCTCTTTATTTTCTCCTTTAGCGACACTCAGGAAATGCTTGTCTCCTGCTGTTGACGCATCATCTCCCAGTACTATGGATCATGCTGAAGAAAATGAAATCCTCGCAGCAAGCCAGAGGTACTATGTGGAAAGGCCTATCTTTAGTCACCCCATCCTCCAGGAAAGACTGCACAAGAAGGACAAGATTTCGGATTCCATCGGGGATAAGCTGAAACAGGCATTCACGTATGTTGTGTTTTAACCAACTTCTTTATTCCATCATTCAGTTATGACAGAAGCGAGGTCAGATATATCAAGAAAATCTGGTGCGGTGGGGAAAAAAATGGTGAGCACTTAGGATTTGCAGACTGTCCACGTGGTAACTCAGGGATGGGTACTTGATTAAACCCCGGCTTCATTATATATTTTACTCTATTTATTAAATTCTGATTATACTTGCCTCCATTTAACAGTTTATCTAAACATCCTGCTTTCCCGAACTCCACCACCTTCGAAATATCCATCTCTTCCCTTCATCTTTCAGGAATGTTCCAACCACTCTGTCTTTTTTTTCCACCCAGACTTCTACCCCATTTGGCACTACCCTGAACTTAAGTCCCAATGCAGGCTGTCAGGGACACTCAGTGTCCTAGGACTCTTCACTCTGGAGACGTTTACACAGCCATGTTGCAGGCCTGGGAATGGTAATACGTGTGTGCCTGACGTGTCTCTTGAGAGCTCCCAGGATTAGGTTTGACTGCTGCCTCTAGACCCTTGGGACCACATGTCCATGCTCTGTGTTCACCTAGCTTCATGGGAACCCTCTGCTCTAGGTGTGATCATCAGGAGAGTTTTTAAATGTATTCACCAGAGTCAAACTGAGTTTTAACCCTAGTCCCAACCACCTGCCAGCCATGTGCTTTCAATCCTGCTCTATAAAATGGGGACAGTCATGGTACTTACATCATAGAGTTACTGGGGGTTAAAATCTGTTAATATATACAAAGTCCAAGGCATGTGGCAAGCGGTACAGAAGTGTAGCTATTATTAATATCTTAATTTTCTAAACAAGGAGACACATCTAATCTAATTTGTTTCACTCAGATTCATGGCTGTTGCCACAGTTGGCCCAGATCTGCTTCCAATATCTTCCTTCAGCTGATGATCAGATACTTTTGTAAAGACATGATATAAAGTACCATGCATACTGCAAGAATGCATTGTCTTTTGAATGGAACAAATTGCTTCCTTGTCACCCAGAGAACTTGGGGCTATCCTGGTGGTGATGGAACCCATCTGTCCATCTCTTATTCAGTGACATCTCTGATGACTGGCATAGACTGGCAAAAGGACTGGCCAGGGCCCAGAACATGGTCTACATATCAAAATTAATTGAACTACATGGGGATTAAATGCAAGGCCTGGGTTTTATTAGCATGATGTTGCACCTAGTCAAAACAACCAGACACAGAATCCGCTACTGGACACCAGTGACAAATGGCGTCTTGTTTTTTTTTTTTTTTAAGATTTTATTTATTTTTATTTGAGAAAGAGGGAGAGAGAGCGTGAGAGGGTTGAAGGTCAAAGGGAGAAGCAGACTCCCCATGGAGCTGGGAGCCTGAGGCGGGATGCGATCCTGGGACTCCAGGATCATGACCTGAGCCAAAGGCAGTCACTTAACCAACTGAGTTACCCAGGCGACCCAACAAATGGTGTTTTGAGTTTACCTAATCAAAGACCCTAAAGCATTGAATACATATCCATAAAGCTCAAGTACTTGTATAAATTTCCTTCATTTTATAAGGACAGAGAAGACTAAATGGGCCTGCTGGTCAGTGGTTCCACATTCACAAACTTACTAAATCAGTAAGTAATTCCCTCACTTTGTTTGTACACCAACATAGAAAGTACATTAGGATTTCATCTGCTAAAATAGTAGCTTCCAGTATATCTCAATTATTTTGAAGCTAAATTTTTCTTATCGTTCATGGTAAGTTGTAGAGCATCATTATGGAGCCAGTTCAGATGTTGCCATTTAAAAAAAAAGGTTACATGCAGATCTTCTTCTTTCTGATCTCTGTAGAGTGGAGAGGTCATTCTTAGCACAGAATGTGAATTTTTCCTTATTCCTCCAAGATACAGGGAAGGAAAATGCCTTGGTGTGAATTCTATAGAAGTGTTCCTCATTTTATCTCTGGGGTTTTGTTTTGTTTTGTTCTTTGTCCTCCCAGATGTACTCCTAAGAAGATACGAAATATTATTTATATGTTCCTGCCCATAACAAAATGGTTACCAGCATACAAGTTCAAAGAGTATGTGTTGGGTGATTTGGTCTCAGGCATAAGCACAGGGGTCCTTCAGCTTCCTCAAGGTTAGTAGGTCTGTTTATTTCTTTGTGTTGTTTCCCTTGCCACCATCTCTTCAAGCAATTGTTGACCTTTTTTCCTGTTTTCTTTCACCATGGTTGCAAATTCATAGTTTTTATCATATCATACTAGTAACTTTTTCTGGTCTAAAAGAATGCTTCAGAAACATTTGACCCTTAAAAAGCCCAGAGACAGTAGTAGTAGACTATGATGATATTAGTTTGCAGATCACTATATTTCTAGGAACTGGCTGGGCATGGCCTAACTTCTTGCTAAGTTAATCAGTCACTTAATGAATGTGTTGTTGGAGTTGTCATTGTTAAGGTTCTTGACTTTTAAGTCCATACTCTAATTACAATGGACAAGGATATGTTGAATTCCTCTACATATGTGTGATTTTATGTGTGATATAAGAATTTAAGAAAATGCTCATTCATTTATTCATCTGTTCATACATGTTTATCAAGCATCTGTCCAGCCCTCCATATCCTTATGGAATTAACTATCCAACCAAGCAGAAAGGTATGATGCAAATAAAAGCACATTTAACTGTATTTAATTACATTTAACTACAAATAATGTCAAACACAATGAAGGAAAACACAGAGTACCAGAAGATAATAATAGGGGAACAGAACTTAAGTAGGTAAGTCACAGAAACTTCTGAGAGATTTGAGCTGAGCCCTGAAGGATGAGCGGGGGCAGGTAAGGAATGAGAGGAAGCACAATTGAGGCAGAGGGCATAGCATGTGTGAAGACACTTAGCAGGAAAAGAGTTGAGTATTTGAAGACTTAGTTTGAAAAATTCACAGAGAAGCAACTTGCCACGCGGGTTAGGGGCTGGTGGCCAGCAAGGTGGGCAGTGCTAGGTCTACAGAACCTTGTTGGCCACTTTTTGGATTCCACTCTGAGTGCACCGAAAGCTATCACCATGCTTTCACTCAGGGTTTCTTTCCTTCTAAGAGGTCGCCAGGACTGCTGTTGGGAGGTGGGGTGGGGATTGACTTGCCTGGTGAGCTACCAGAATGCAAGCGGGGAGACCAACCAGAGGTGACAGGATTCAGTATAGGGAAAAGGTAAGATAAAAAGATAAAAAGGTAAGATAAAAAGATAAAAAGATAATGGCTTGAACAGCCTCTAGATCAGTAGGGCAAGAATCTGTTCCATTCTCCAGTTTCCCAAAAATTAATTACAAAATGATTAATTTGTTTAAAAAATCACTTTCCCTCATAATCAGTTAACTACATTTTTAATTTTCCAAGTGACTGATTTACCAGATCTTTTAAACAAAAGCCTTATACCAGGTTTAGGATGGTTTTTCCCATCCATTTTGGCACCAACACCCCAAGGGCACAGTAAAGGTGGGGAACAGAGAGGAGGACACCCAGAGGCTCAGCCTCTGAAATAGGAAACAAGTGAAACCGTCAATGAGTCAAGTGGGACAGAAAAAGCGGCAGGGAGTGACTGCAGTGAACCTGTGTAAACTAATACTTCAGCGAAATCCGCAGGGTCGTGCCTAACTGGGTTAAAATGCCATTCTGCAGATTTATGTTTGACCTGTTAGCCATCTTCCATCTTGAACTAGGGTGGTGGTGGTATAAATGGAAAAGTTATAAAGATGCACACTATATTTTATGGTGAAATCAGCCATATTGGCTGTTGGATTGATTGAGGGGGGAATGGGGAAGAAAGGCGTGTCGAGACCTGCTTTAAGGTTTCTGGGCTGATGAGTTGGACATGGAGACACCGAGGAGGGAGGATGGTCAAGAATGACTCTTGGATTTCTGGTTCTCACCTCCAAGGGTTGGAGGTGTCAGTGGCAGACATAATAAAAACTACAGGAGGAATGGCTTTGAAGGGTAAGTTTGAACATGTTAAATTTGAAATTTTTGTGAAATAGACAAATGGAGATTGCATGTTTATATTTAAAATATGATGGGCTAAAGAGAGCTGTGGGCTAGATATGTCAGTGTGGGGATCTTTGACATACAGGGAACATTTAAGCAATGGAAGGCCACCCAGGAAAAGAATGTGGAGCGAAAGAGAGCCAGGATCAAGCTTTCCCCAACATTAAAGACCAAATAAAGAAAGAGGAACCAGCAGAAGAGACGGAAAAAGAAGCATCTGGAAAGGGGGAAGGAGAACCAGGAGCCTGTGGTATTACAGAAAGGAGGAAGGAATGATCCAGTAGGTTGAACACTTACAGGTGTAAGTCACCCCACAATCAAATTCATATGGAAAAGGCATTTTTCTGCCCATCACTAGTCAATGAAGATAGATAAATAGGAAAAACAAAATGTAGCAAAGATAGAGATCCAAGAGATAGTAAGTTGATTTCTTGTGGTTGGTAAATTATTAGTAAAAAGACTTTTTTAAGCATTGAATTAATAGATTCATGAATTTAGTTGAATTCTCTCTCTAATTCATTTAAAATCCCTATAAAATGATGGTAAAAGAGAAGAAAATGGTGTAAACTAGTAAGGACAAAGAAAATGGGAGAGCAGACACCCTGGAGTAGGGAAAAAAAAAATGGCAAGTGATGGACGAGTGACAACTGAATTATCAGAGTGGGGGAAACTGATATTTGAGTGTCTGCCTTGTAGGAACATTGGGAAATTGGCAGCTTCAAGGATTGTCAAAGGTGAGAGTCAGGCAGATGGCTAAAAGCGAGAAGATTGGTTGAAACTCCGTATAATAAGTAGCAAGTACATGGACACCCAAGTCCCCACTGACACCATTCAGTGGATGGCAGTGAAAACAGTGAAAGATGTCAGGAGCAATGAAGTCTGCATGTTGACCTGTGCACTAACAAGGGCTCTTCCTTGCCCTGCGCATCTCCAAAGAGCCTGCAAGAACTTACAGCCCAAGGCAAACGACAGCCCACCCCCAGAGAAAAAACACCAAAGTGACAACTGGAGGTTCCCCAACCAAGATGTTGACTGGTCCCCCAGTTGCCATATAGTAGAGTTCATCTATAAATAAAGGGGCTGATGCACACGAACCTTCAAGGAAGAAAAAAAAAAACAAACAGAAAGAAGGACCTCGTTGGGCATATAAATAATGGAGAGGGCAAAATAAAATCTATTTGCTCTGTAATATTCTCAGCAGGTTATGAAAACATACTGAATCCATGAGATAAGAACAGGATGTGATTTTAAAGACTTTATTTGGAGAGAGCATGTGAACAGGAGAGGGGGCAGATGCAGAGGAGCCAACTGAGCCACCCAGGCGCCCCGGGATCCAATTTTAAAAGGAGCCTTCAGAGAACAAGAAAGAGCTCATAGAAATTAAAAATATGATAGCTGGAACAAAACACTCCATCATAGGGTTGGAAGATAGAGGAAATCTGGAAATGGAAGAAATAGGTGAGTACGTGAGCAGTAAGAAAGGTGAGACGGGGACAGCAGAGGATTAGTCCTGGTGTTCCGTTGTGTATCTACTTGCAGTTCCAGAAAGAAGGAGTTAAACTAAAGGGAAGAGACTATCAAAGAATATTTTCAGAATTGAAATACATGAGTTTTCAGACTGCAAGAAGAGACAAAGTACCCAGCAGAAGAAATAAAAAAGAGGCATACCATAATATCAGAATGCCAGGGATAAAGAGAAGATCTCAAAACCTCTTAGAAAGGGAACAAAAAGTCACATAATTATGATATAACTAAGTGGAAGCTGAGAAAATAGGAACTCAGTAGCTATTTAATATCTGAAACTGATAAACAGAATAATAATGCCAACACATTATTTAGAGCAGGGTTTCTCAGCCCTGCACCCTGCCGGGACAGCCCCCATCCTCAGACAGTCATGATAATAAAAAATGTCTCCTGACATTGCCAGATGTCCCTGGGGCGGGGTTAAGGGGGAAAAAAATCCTCTCTGTTGAGAACTGTCGATTTAAAGAAACGAGATAAATGGTAGAAAAACAGCTGAACAAGTTGGAAGTAAGTGCCTTTGGGGAGCAGAACCTGGGGGTAAGGCAGGAGAGAGCTCACTTTTCTTTGGAGCTTTTTTTAAAGTACTGTTTGGCTTTTTAAACTATGGGCATGCATTGATTCCTTTTAAATAAAAATTTAAAAATAGAAATTTAAAAGAAAACCATGAAAATGACCATATTATATATGGACTAGGGATGCTTCCCTACTGTTCTGTGACTAAAATTTTTTTCTTCACAACATGACAACGCATTAAGTGAGTTTTCTAGTTGTCCCAGATATTGGGCTGAGCCCCCTGAGCCGAGAACAAGGGTGTTTATTGTCTCCACATTCTGAAGAGGATGCCAGACCATCTATGCAAAACTATGAATGAATGACACCAAACCATGTCTTTAGTGCATCACTTCAACCGGATGTATTTGGGGAACAGGGAGATGACAGTAAATTTGGAGTGAGAATTTTCTAGAGGTGAAAGCACTATACATGTCCCCTCCACTTAAAGTCAAGGTAGAAGTGACTCCAAGAGAACCATTCAGAGGGCTAGACACATGTCCTCTGGAGTTTTGGGGAATTGTTTTGCTGCCTAATTCTTGCAAGAAAAAAAATTCACAAAAGAGTGTAAACTGCCCGCCCACACAGGCAGAATGGAAAACCCTCCAGTGGGCGTGGCCTGCACTTCCGCAGTTTCTCGGGTAAAGGTGCCAAGCTTTCCTGTCGGATAAGTGAGTGCTCTGGAAGGTAACAAGGCTCAGCTCATTTGAAAGGTACCTGCCCAAGAGGACTGCCTACAGAGGAGAGGAGCGTATGTCCGTGGAGGGAGCCTGGAAGAGGTGTAGGAACTGGAACCTGGGAGTTCCTTATTGAATAGGGATCCCCAACAAGCCCACAAAAACACCCCGTTAGAGAAACAGCCGGCATTTTGCCTTCAACAAAGATTGTAGCTACACCAGTCAAGTAAGACTTTCTGCCCTCATTTAGGTTGGAAAAGAATAAAACAAAAAAGTCCACCCTTTGCCAAAGAGGAGATGACAGGGAGAATGGTCTCAGCCTGAGTGTAGGATTGGGATGCAAGGGTGGGCAGGTTAAGACCCACCTGTTTAATTTAACTTGGCTCTCACCCAGTCCCCTAAAGCGCCAAGAGATGAGCACATAGAACCCTCCGCTTTCTAACGATCTCTCCACTTCTGCTGGTTTCCATCCCACAGGGTTAGCCTTTGCAATGCTGGCTGCTGTGCCTCCCGTGTTTGGCCTGTACTCTTCATTTTATCCTGTTATCATGTATTGTTTTTTTGGAACCTCCAGACACGTATCCATAGGTAAAAGCTTAGAGCTGACGTTTTAGTGCCATTCCGTTTGGATTTCCGAACTTTGCAGTGTGCCAAAGAGATCGCATGTCTGTTACCAGAACATCCGCTTCCTCAAAACTTTTGTTACTGGACACCCACTAGGGGCTTTATAAAAATAGACTCCCCCCAGATTTCCAGAATGAATAGCTTTCTTATAGTCTTGGCATAACGGGGGGAAAAAAAGACCATTTTTCTTGTGTAAAAAGAGCAATTGTTGAAATCTGGGAAAGAAGTACTTTAGTTCATAACATGGTTTGTTTGTATCTGGTTTTTCTTTTCTTTTATTAGTGTTACTGCATGTTCCTCATTACTATGCATGTGTCGCATTTTCATCCTGTTTGAGGCTCTGAATTATACATGACTTTTTCCCGGTGTATTTAGGGTGAGACTTACATGGACTTCATTACAGCCTTTGTGCCGCACGAGGCTGCCACCAACACACACGCACACAGTTTCTGATGTCTGGTGCTGGGTAACACATATCCCCCAAACATTGCAGCTTCAGATATTTGCTTGATTACCTCGCACAGTTCCTGTGGGTCAGGATTTGGGAAGCGCTCAACTTGTGCCATTCTCGCTCAGGCTCTATCAGGTAGTTGAGAGTCAGAGGGGGAGCTGGAGCAGCTACTCTCTCTCTCTCCCCTCCTTCCCCTCCAACCTTCTCTCCACTGGGTCCTAATTGAGCTTTCTCACACTCGGTCGCAGCACACGCAAGTGTTGCATCTGTCCGATGGAAGCCCCCTCACCTTCTGTCATGTAGTCTCAGAAGCCACCCAGTATCACTTTTGCTGCATTCTTTGAGTGACTAGCATGTCACAAGCCCACCCAGATTCAAGGAGGGAGGAATCAGACTACCTCTTCATGGGCAGATGTCCAGGTTCTAGAAGAGTCCATGGGATGGAGGTATTATCGGGGCCATTTTTAGATAATACAATCTGTACATACACAGCTCACACATAACCCGGGGGCAGAAGGCTGACGGAGAGCAGGGCAATTTTATCAACCTCACCTGTGTCTCCTTGAAAACCAGCAACAACCACGGGAGATTCGCTGGAAATGATTGCCTCAACTAATGCTTCATTATTTCAGGTCCATTTGCTGTGATTAGCCTGATGATTGGCGGCGTGGCTGTCCGATTAGTACCCGATGATATCGTCATCCCAGGAGGAGTAAATGCAACCAACGGCACGGAAGCAAGAGACGCCTTGAGGGTGAAAGTCGCCATGTCTGTGACCTTACTTTCAGGAATCATCCAGGTAATATTCACAGATGGAGAAGTGAGCTCTCATTTGTCCATTTCATAAATCTCTATTGAGCCTTCGTGGCTGGTCTGCATGGTGGGCAGGGTCCAGCAGGCAGAGGTCCAGAGCTCAGGGTTCAGCGCACCCAGGAACACCAGTCCCACTGCACACCTTCCTGAAGTGCGTATTTATTAGGAGCTAGGAAGCCTCAGTTGGGCCCTTTAGAGATTCCAAAAGCAAGAAAAGTTTAAAGCAGGATTGATTAGTAATGGGAAGAAGGCCTCTCTTACCCGCTTGGAAGGAAGGGGAGGTGACATTGATTCAGCGTGCCCCCAGTTCTGAGGAGCAGGGAAAGTACAAGTGTGCCCCGTGCTCCATGAGGCTCCAAGCGGCCCCCAAACTTCCACTGTTTTCTCTAACCCGTGTTTCACCTGTGACCTGCTTAACTGCCATAGAGGCAAGACTGTAGTGTTAGAAAGCGGTCCGGAAAGAACTTTTGTGTGTTTTCTGTTGGTTTTTCACCTCCTGCTCTATCATGTGACTTCTTTATTTCTTTGTCATTAAAAAAAAAAAAAAAAAAAAAGTTTTGCCTAGGTGTCTGTAGGTTCGGATTTGTGGCCATATATCTGACCGAGCCCCTGGTCCGGGGCTTTACCACCGCAGCAGCTGTGCACGTCTTCACCTCCATGTTGAAGTACTTGTTTGGAGTGAAAACAAAGCGGTACAGTGGGATCTTTTCAGTGGTGTATGTAAGTAAGCTGCTTTCTGACCTCCCGGTACTCATTTTGCCTTCTTATTTTCCCCTCTTCTCTTCTGTACCTCTGTCACCTTCAAGGCTCACTTTTCCAAGAATTAAAATGGAAAAGATCTCATTATTCTAAGACTTTTCTGAGAACCCTCCAAGGGGAATTGAACCTTAAATTCCTGTTTTATTAATAGGCGATACCTCACAAGGAATTTTGTATCAGACCTTTATCTGGTGACCTCACCTTCACCCTAATTAGCTGAAGAGACTGCTTTTTCTTTAGACCAAATTATGTTCTCTTTGGGAACTAACAAAATTTAAAGGCATCACAGGAGAACACATCTGTCTCTAAAACTGTTCACTCAAGCAGGCCCCCAAAAATAAAAAAGTAAATCTATAAAAGATTTAACCTACACGATTATCCTTTGAATCTAATAAAGTCTATGTCGACCCTTGCGCCCGAATCAGAGAAAATATAAATTATTTGCAGGCACATAGGGAACAATAATAAGAACTGATGTTGTTAAAACTGATCACAGATTCTAAAAATTCCTTATTTTCTCACACAGTGTAGTAGAATTAACAACTGGTAACTAAATATAGCTTCAAAACCCCCATACATGTAGAAAACAAAAGACCTACTTCTAAATATTTCACAGATAAAGAAGAAGTTATGAAATAATTAAAATCAAATGACAGTCAAATGCTTCATATCAAAAGTTCTGAGATGCTGCTAAAGCTAGTGTTGGGCAGAAGAACCGATGGCCTTTGCAGGTGTTTGTGTGCCATTTACCACGCTGGGCACCGTGAGTGAGCAGATACAGCCCTTGCCCTCATGGACCCCAGGTCCCCTGGGAAGGCAGATAGTAAACCGTTAATTGGCAAATATGTAATTAATTGCAAACCGTGTTACATGCTGTGGAGGAAAGGTACAGGCGGCTGTGAAAGGTGAATAGGGAGACCTTTCGATTAGGGAGCTGAGAGAGTCACGATAAGGAAGTGACATTTACGTTGAGTCCTTGATGGCTGAGAATGGGATCAAACTGTAGGAACATGCCCTAAATAACTAAATTCTTTGTTTCCCATAGTAGCCAGTGACCTGCTTCCTACACGGAGATCTCTCTCTGTGCCTTGTCACAAAGGAAATAGAACAGATAAGCCCCTGAGTGTGTTCTAGGCATCGACAGGCAAAGGTGTGTAGCCTGGGCTCAGTGTAGCCCATTGTCCCAGGGGCCACATGAGTACTGACCACATTTGGAGTGCTGAGGCTGCAACCCTAGGATAAAAGTAGGAGACTTTCTTTTTTTTTCATTTTAAGATTTTGTTTTTGTGATAGGGGGAGAGCACACACAAGTGCGTGAGAATATGAGCAGTGGGGAGGGGCAGAGGGAGAAGAGACTCCCCGCTGAGCAGGGAGCCTGACGTGGGACTCACTTCCAGGACCCTGAGATCATGACCTGAGCTGAAGGCAGACACTTAACTGATTGAGCCACCCGGGCACCCTGGAGACTTGGTTTTCTAACTCTCCTGGGCTTCACCCAGACTTAAGCACGCTCTTGCCTTTGAAGTGGAGCTATTCGCTTTTTCACCTGCTACCCATGACTTCTTTCTCCCTCTTTTGCCCCCAAAAAACTTTTCCGTATATTTACCTTTGCATTATTTTGCTGATATCAACTCATAATCGTTCCTCGGGACTCAGCTTAAGGGGTACTTTTCTGAATATGATAAAACTACATTGAGCCATTACCAAATCTCAGAACATTATAAGATTGTTGGATAACAGTTACAACTACAGGGGCACCTGGGTGGCTCTGTCAGTTAAGTGTCTGACTCTTTCTTGATTTCAGGTCAGGTCACGATCTCAGTATCATGAGACCGAGCCCAGCACAGAATCTGCTTGGGATTCTCTGTCTTCCTCTTCCCCTCCACTACTCGCTCATTTGTGCCCTCTCTCTAAAAAAGAAAAAGAAAAAAGAATTAAAACTATAAAGTTGTATGACTGGGTAAAAATGCCTCCTAATCGGTGGGAGAGAGAGATTTCAGTCTGAGAACTTTTCACTAGAAATACACGGTGATGGGATGGCCGGTGTGGATTAGCACACTAGTGTGTCTAGGGGCTGTCCAGGGGCTGTTGCTTGATGTAACCTCCAATGTTCACTGTGTTACAGAGTACAGTTGCTGTGTTGCAGAATGTTAAAAACCTCAACGTGTGTTCTCTAGGCGTCGGGCTGATGGTTTTTGGTTTGCTGTTGGGTGGCAAGGAGTTTAATGAGAGATTTAAAGAGAAATTGCCGGCACCCATTCCTTTAGAGTTCTTTGCGGTAAGTCAAGTCAACTTTGGCCACAAATACCTGGCTGTCTTGGTGAGGGATTTGGACAGGGGAGGAACAGGGAGTACTACGTTTTTTCTCCCAGTTCTGTCAAGAGAAGGTTAGAATGTGTCAAGGGAAACCTTCACAAATATGCTAAAAGGCAAGTGTGGACAGAGATGATTTTCAAAATCTAGGCAAAGGCCATCCATAAAAATTGTAATATGAATTATCTTTGATGAGATTATGGGAGACTATTCTTCCTCAAAATTTTTATTATCTAATTATTTTATAAGGAGCACCTACAACATTAATAACCTTAAAAAATGAGGCTATTTCCATTTTTAAAAGATCAAGAGATAAGTTCCCAGACTTTCTTGGTTGGTTCCTGGCTCTTCAAAGCCAAAAGAAATACCTAACAGTACTAAGTAGTTAATGCATTAAGTAGTTAATGCATATTTACAACTTAACACATATTAACATCTCACGACTTAGGAACTATTGTAAAAATAATGCATATGCAATGAACTACTGTATATTCTATTACGTCCTTAAATGACCACAATGGTTTATTAATAACATTACCTTATCACTGGTTTCCTGCAGCTGCCACTACTGTAAGGACTGGTTCGATGCCCTGGCCAGCCCTCCTCCCCTGGATGACCCACTCAGAAAGTTCAATAGCAGTAGTTCTTAAAAATGAAGGAACTTGCTTCTCCTTCTGTTATTTTTCCATCGCATGTCAGTAAGGGCTATACTTTACACACCAACTAAATCTGACTGTCCGGAAGGCTCATGCACAGTGGCAATCTGTGACCCTGAGTGTAGCTGAGGTAGGAGACCGCTGTGGGGCTGGCCGAGGCCTCGAACCACAGCTGGTGGGGACAGAGGGTCAGCGGAAGGATTGACACGCTGTTGGTACATCCCCCTCACAATACACTCTCCAGCGTCCCTTGTTCCTGCCATCTTAGAAAGGCAGAGGCAACTTCTGGAAGGCTTTATGGCTCTTTCTGTTTGCAGTCAGCCGGCCAGACACCTCAGCAGGGAACAAAACAAAATAAAGAGGAAAGAACGCCAGGCCACAAGGCAGCTGTAGAGTCCATTCTAATTTTGTGGGGGAAGAGCCATCGGGAGCAGTTAGAAATGCTAGAGGCTAACTATAATTCTGTTCTTTAAAACTGTAAGTTGAAAGTGAGAATAAATTGTGGTGGTGGCAGTTGACTTTTCATCTATGAAGGCACATTCAGATTTGTGTCTGTTCTAGGTGGTGATGGGGACTGGCATTTCAGCTGGGTTTAACCTGAAAGAATCGTACAACGTGGATGTCGTCGGGACACTTCCTCTGGGGTAGGAAAACCATTTTAAGTTAACAGTGTGACTTGAATAATCAGTAGATTTACTATTGTTTCTAACTCCTGCTTTAGTATTTTTCCAATCAAAATCTCTTTTTCTTTTCCCTACATATCAAATAGCTGAGGCTTTGGGTTTTTTGGGGTTTTAGTGGTTTTTTTTTAAAGATTTTATTTATTTATTTGACAGAGAGAGATCACAAGTAGGCAGGCGGGGGGGGGGGAATTTTTTTAATTGTAAAAAAAACCCATAACAGAAAATTTACCATTTTAATCATTTTGAAGTATACAGTTCAGTCTGTTAAGTATATTTGCATTTTTGTGAAATGGATCCTGAGAACTTTGTCATCTTGCAGATCTGAAACTCTATACCCATTAAACAAGAATTCTCTATTCTCCTTCCCCACCCTCCCAGCCCCTGGCAACCACCATTCTTTTTCTCTGTATAAATTTAAGTACTCTTGGTACCTTATATAAGTGGAATTCTGTCTGTCTTTTTGCGACTGGCTTATTTCATTCAACATAATATCCTTAGACTTCATCTCTGCTGTAGCAAGTGACAAAATGTGCTTCCTTTCCAAAGTTGAATGAAATGTCACCAATGTCTGTACACCACGTTTTGTGTATCCATTCACCCAACCATGGACCTCTGGGGTGTTTCCACCTCTTAGCTGTTGTGAATATTACTACTGTGAACATGGGTGTGCAAATATGTCCTCAGGACCCTGCCTGCATTCTTTTGGATATATACCCAGAGTGGGATTGCTGGATCATAGGCTAGTTCAATTTTTAACTCTTTGAGGAACTTCCATGCTTTTTTCCAGAGTGGTTACACCGTTTTACAGTTCCACCAACAGTGGTCTGTAGTGTTTTCTTTTGTTTCCTGTTGCTTAGCACTTGCTGGTTTTTAAAATCTCTCTTCGGATGGCATAGGAATTAAGGGCCAAAATACCTCGATCTAGCCTGAGGTTTATTATCTGTGTGACCTCAGGCAAGGCACTTAACCTCTTAAAGCCCCAGTCTCCTCCGCCATCAGGTTAGCACAGCAATCACTCCTGTCTGAGGGCAGCTTTGAAGTTACAGCTGGAAGTGATCACCTGGAAGTGTTTAAGACTTGCCAGTTGGATGTTCTGTGGCTCGTTATTTCAACAGATTTTCTAGTTTCAAGTCCTCTCTTCTTTATTGATCTCCTTTTATCTAACTCTACCTTTAAAATGTTTTACTATTCTCTCTATGATTGAGGAAGCTAGAATAACTATGAGCCTCTCTTCCCACCTCATTCTGTTCTTCTCTGACATGCTCTGGCTATCTCTGTATCTCTCTGTGTGTCTCTGTCTTTCTGTCTCTTGTACTGTCTCTTCTTCTTGCCACCCTCTTCTCTCTCTGCAGACGAGCAGAATCAGATATTTGCCCAGATGCTGGGCATGGATGAACCTGACCTACGGCATCAAGCCTTGCCCCTAAGATTCTCCTGGGAAACACAGGGCCAGGTGTTCCCCTTGAAGCCAGAGGTCACCCCCACCCCAGAGCAGGTGTTGAAGGAGGAAGCATGCACTCCACTTCAGAACAAGGGATCCCTGTCATGAACGTGTTACTTATGATTCCATGTAAAAGTATAACCCAGTAGTAACACTTGCTTTTCACTTTGGACTTATAAAATACTTTTATACCCGCCATCTCCGTTGGTGCTCACAATAACACTATTGACATATATGCTATCTCCATTCTACACAATAAGGAGTTTCTTTTATGTAAGCATATGTTTATTGAATGCCTATTATGTGCCAGCAGTGCGGCAGTTAAAAATGAAGGCAGCCATGCAAGCAAAAAAATGTCTGCCCTCAGAGGAGTGGGGGGTTGGGGGTAGAGGGACAAGGGAGAATGAACAGTGAAAAGTGCTGTGAAGAAGACGGAAGCCAGCAAGGGCTAGGGCGGGGCCGGGTTGCTGTGTGAGGTAGGCTATCAGAGAAGGTGACATTTGAGAGACGGGGATACAGCTTAGTGGCTCACTGGTGAGTCCCAGCCTGGACCCAGAGTACAGTCTTCTGACGCTCAGTTGCTTGCTGTTTCCATTACCTCACACCTGGGTCTCTAACAATTAGTCATGTGCTAAACAAGCATTAGTCTTTGACTAGATCCAAAAGACAGTTATATTCAGTAATCACAAATAATTTGATTAAATGTGAATCCTTACACTTAGATTTCTCCTTTTAAAAATTCACATACAATTCACCACAGTTTCTACCCAGTACCTTCCTTTCCCTATTGCACTGTACCCAAATATGTTTCCTTTCCTCCATGTGTGAGAGCCATCCTTTAAAAAACAAAAACAAAACGAGAAAATTGTACCTTTCTGTAACCTGGCTCCCCTTTCTGGAACTTTGCCCAAAACCAAGCAGGAAACATATAATGCTCACCTAACCACCTATCTACATATAATCATACCGTTTCCGTTATCTCTGAGGCTTATAGCTGAAGGACAGGTAATTCCAAAATGGCGGCTTACAAGAACATCCATTTATTTGCTCACAATCCACAATCCAGGTAGGAAGCTGAGTGGTCTCCTGCTGTCACTTGGGGTCTCTCGGGCCACTGCTGATGTCTGACAGTGTTGCTGGTGGGCTTCACTCCCATGTCTGATACGTCGGGTGGAGGGCTGGCTGGCATCTTCTCCCCTCACATGGCGACCCTGACAGGAGAGCCAGACTCTTATGTAGTGACTCAGGGAAACAAGACAGAAAAGCAGAAGGTGCCAGGTGGCTAAAAGCACTCGTACAGCCTCACTCACCCACATTCAGTTGGCTAAAGTAAATCTCAAGACTAGCCCAGATTCACCAGAGGAGAATCAGATCTCCCCGAGACGCAGGAGGAGCAGCCCATACATGCATGGGAGGAACTGTTGGCGGCCATATTTGAATACAAACTACCACACTCATCTGTACACGCACAAATAATACACACAGGACTGTGTCCAGGAAGTGGCAGTTGACTCTTAAAGATGCCAGCCATGGCAGTACATCCTCTTTCTTGGTTTACTTTCCTTAACTCATTCCAGTATACATTCTTTTCTTCTGTTCTTCTGCGGTCCCAAATCTGCTGCTCGGGCTTCCTTCCCGGCTAATACTTCTGCAACAAAGTACAAGGGAAAGACAATAAGTTTTTCAGGCAGACCTCCTGGGCTGGATTCCTTGCTCCTTCTCAAGCAAATAGCTTAACATCTGCAAGTATCCATTTTTTCACCTATAAATTAAGATAACAATGGCACCTAGCAAAGAGGATTGCTGTGAGGACAGATGACATATGGCAAGCATACAGCACGAGACGTAGGCTTAACTTAATATAGGTTCTTTTTTTTTTTCCCTTCTCCCCCTATCTTTCCCTAACCCCCCTGTGTCACTGTGACATGACACAGTGGGAGAAAAAGGCCCAGGGAGGCAGGTTCCTCATGGTTTCTGTTGTACTGGTGCCCATTTGTACCTGAGCCATTGGCCCTTGGACAGGTTGCTTAGTCTCACGATCCCTTGTTTTCCTCCTCTGTAAACTGGGGAACATGGTGGCACATTGCTCACAGGGCTGTCAGAGATAAATAAGCACAGAACCTAGCACAGGGGAAGCACCTAATCAATGGTTGTTATTGTAAAAAAAGAATAATATGGTATGTAAATTGATTGACATTCCTATGTAGCCCAATGCCTTGAATTGAATCAAGTGCCCTTGAAAACCCATAGTGCCCCTTTCCCCGTACCATTCTAGGGAATCTCTATTCTGTTCCTTTAGGACAAGGGTCCCAAACTATGAGAGTGGACCACAAAAACTGGGTTCCCCGTTGGTCCCTCCAGATTTCCAGAACTACCAGGTGAGACCCAAAGAGTATCATCTTCTATTGCTCCTTTCCCATGTTAGAAATTCACCTAAAGGGACCCTGGGAAGCAGAGTCTGTACTTGAAATAACACAGGGGAGCAGTCTGGACAGCAGTTCTCCTCTAAGACAGCCCTTGATGAACACCCTTCCTGCCCTCAGACTTTGGTTCAGATGTCTTGTGCCATCCGAGCCCTTCGCTGACCCTCTCTTCTTCCTGTTCTCTTACTTACACCTGCCATACAGGGTGTCAGGAGGTGTGAGGTTACTCCTTTTCTAAATAAAACAGTATCTGATGTCTGCTGATAACCCATTTAGGTAGGAAGCCAGTACTCCAGGGTTGGGACCTAAAAAGAACCCCTGTGTGTCAAAGAGGGTGTTCCTTTTTGCCAAACCAGAGCAAACAAGTATCGAAGTGTTGATTACCTCATTTGCAGATGATGCTGTTCTGAGATGCCCCCTGCTAGCTGCATGTTCTCTTCCCAGTGATCACAATTCTTGGCTTAAAGTCAGCTTGACCTTTCAGGCTACTGCCTCCTGCCAACCCGGACACCAGCCTCTTCCACCTCGTGTACGTGGATGCCATCGCCATAGCCATTGTTGGCTTTTCGGTGACCATCTCAATGGCCAAGACCTTGGCAAATAAACATGGCTACCAGGTTGATGGCAATCAGGTAAAAAATCCTTCATTCCCTGCAGGTGTTTCATTATGGTATAATCACATGCTGGGCTACAGAAGGCAAACGATTGGGATTTCTCTGTCTCGTTAGAAGAACTTCTAGTTTGATGTTGGAGGTATTAGAAACGTATTTCTTAAACACTACAGTTTTTTTCATTATTTATGTGCATTAGATCATCAGAGCACTGAGGTATCATCCTACCTCATATCACGGGTAGGGGTCCTGCTAGGAAGAGGTAGCCTTTGATGAGAGGCTTTCAGTTTGCCATACGCCGACAGATGTTATCCCTATTTTTTTTAAAGCTCACAGCCTGAGAAGCAAATGTTTTTCTAGAACCATTTCTGGGAAGACTTTCTTGGTTCATTAAACTTGGATATGTGATTCATCACTCAAACTCCACATTATATTTTCTGCCACCTCTTTTTTAAAAAAAATTTTAGAAGGATGGGAGAAGGGGCAAAGGGAGAGTAAGAGAGAGAATATTAAGCAGGCTCCACACCCAGCACAGAGCCCAATGCGGGGCTCGACATCATGACCTGAGCCAAAATCAAGAGTCGGCCACATAACTGACTGAGGCCCCCAGGTAGCCTGCCACCTCCTTTTATAATCTATCTATAGAGAAGATATTTAATCTGAATACCATGAGCCATAATTTTGGCATGACAATGTCTCCTTTAACACACTGTGTATTTCTAAGAGAAGATGAAATGCTCCACATTCCCACCAGACACAGTGATCCAAATAGGACAACCAGAGATAGCCGTGAGAGCAGGGTTCACCCACAGGTCCCAAGAGGACACTGGCATGTGCTCCTTGAAGTACAACAGTCCAAGCATGTAGAAGATGCCAACAGTTCTGTACACCAATAACTCTCCTGTAACAAAAATAGTTTGTCCCTTTTTGCTGCAGATTTCTTTTTACCAAAAAAAACCTATTAATTGTGTAAGAGAGTGTGTTTGGGAAAGTGGGGAGTAGGTAGTGAGTGCAGCTTTTGCCTCTGACAGAATAAAAGCTCCAAGTCTTTTTCATGCTAAAAAAAACTCTTGTCTCTGGAAAGAGAATGAAGAGACAGCTACTACAGAGCATGTATCTTAAATGAGCCATCATGCCTTTTTTTTCCTGAAGAGTGACTGACCTCTCATGTGCTTTGTTTCAACATGGAAAAGGAGCTCATTGCCCTGGGACTGTGCAATTCCATTGGCTCACTCTTCCAGACTTTCTCCATTTCATGCTCCTTGTCTCGAAGCCTTGTTCAGGAGGGAACTGGAGGGAAGACACAGGTGTGTATACAACTGGCCTCCGAGGACTGGTAGTTTGGAGTGCTGAATTTTAATCCCTTGATTCTATTCGGAACCCAAACAAAGCCACTGTGTCTGAAGCCTGGTGTTCCAGTGAGCTGTGTAGTGAATCAGAGAAAGGCATGGATGGTTGAAGTGAGTCGCAGGTACTGAATCTGTAGGGAAGAGGTATATTCTCCAGTTAAACTGAGAATTACACAACGCTGCCTGCTACTGGTGAATCTCAGAGTTCAGAAAGGGATGTTGCCGTGAGAGCCTGAGGCTGGATATGGATGGTCAGGATGCCAGCACCGTCCAGTAGAACCTTCTGCAGTCTTGGAAATGTTCACTATTTTGCATCAGCTGATATTCCAGCCACTAGACAGATGTGGCCTTTGAGTACTGGAAATGTGGGAAACGCAGCCAAGACCTGAATTTTGCGTCGTATTTAATTATGATTTTGAAAATGTAATAGCTAGATGTAGTGAAAAGAAGGGCCATATGTACCCCAGTGTTCATAGTAGCAATGTCCACAATTGCTAAACTGTGAAGAGAGCCAAGATGCCCTTCAACGGACGAATGGATAAAGAAGATGTGGTCCATGTATACAATGGAGTATTATGCCTCCATCAGAAAGGATGAATATCTAACTTTTATATCAACATGAGTGGGACTGAAAGAGACTATGCTGAGTGAAATAAGTCAAGCAGAGAGCGTCAGTTATCATACGGTTTCACTTGTGGAGCATAAGGAACAACAGGGAGGACATTAGGAGAAGGAAAGGAAAAGTAAATTGGGGTACATTGGAGGGGGAGACGAACCATGAGAGACTGTGGACTCTGAGAAACAAACCAAAGGTTTCGGAGGGGAGAAGGGTGGGGGGTTAGGTGAGCCTAGTGGTGGGTATTAAGGCGGCACGTGTTGCATGGAGCACTGGGTGTGGTGCATAAACAATGAATGCTGGAACACCGAAAAAATTAAATAAAATTTTTTAAAAATGTAATTTTTTTGGTGTTCCAGTATTCACGTGACTACCGGCTACCACATTGGACAGCAGAGTCTCCTTTGACTCTTCTGGTCCTTGTGGGTCTTAGGTCATTATCGCCTTTCTCTCACCCCAGGCAAGGGCATTTCTGTCAGAGTTTTTAATCATTTCAGCCTCTATTTAAAAGCTGTAAGAGAAAACAAAAGTTGAGAAAGGGGTGTGGGAAGGAGTTAGAGGTTTATATAGTGGCTTTGATGAGTTGCCTGAATCCGTATTTTCTTGATCTTCCCTCAGTGATTATCAAAAGACTAAAAGCCCCTTCCGTGTGTCTTCTCTCATTCAGCTTGCAGGTTGTTTGGCCTCACTAATGATTCTGCTGGTCATATTAGCCACCGGATTCCTCTTTGAATCATTACCCCAGGTGCACAGTTGGGACTTGGTGTGAAGTGTTTCCATGTGTAGAGATTTTGCTATTTCGTTTGTTTATATTTTTGTGGCCGTCTCATGGGTTTTTACTGTAACCCTAACACAGTGGTATGAGAAAGGGCCAAGGCTGGGACCAAGATCCCACTCCACAATCTACAGCCCTGCCCCACAGTCTGGTACCTTGGGAAAGCCATCTCGACATCTCTGGGTCTGAGCTTCCTTATCTGCAAAGTGGGGGTTTGGACTGACTCATCTCCAAGGTCCCGTCTCTCTTCGATCTTCCATGACCTTGTACTTCCATTAAAAATCTGAGATGACCTTTACTCTGAAGACAATTGTTTCCCAATCTGTTTAATCTAGCAGAGATGAGGGACGATACAGAGTGGAGAAAATCATAGCGTAAGAAGACCACGGATGAGATAATTCCTCGAGTACCAAGCTTAGTTCTGAAACTTTTAACCACCATGCAGGTTTGCTAGTAGGCTATAAGCCTGGTTTTCCAAGGCCCATTTTAGCTAACCAAATCCCGGAGATCCAGGTGTTCATGGCTCCAAAGTACCATCACTGCTGCGTGCAAGTTCTGTGCAGGGCGTGGGGCGGGCAGTGGGAGGACAGTGAGGAACCAGCAAAGGGGGCTCTGCTGCCACGAGAGGAGATGCATGTGTGATGTGCTCTGTTTCAGGCTGTGCTGTCGGCCATTGTGATCGTCAACCTGAAAGGAATGTTTATGCAATTCGCAGATCTCCCGTTTTTCTGGAGAACGAGCAAAATAGAACTTGTAAGTAATAAAGATGATTGTTAGGTTAGTATGTCATTGAGACACGTGGATGAGTGCTGGTAAAAATGTGAGAAAGAGAAGTTAGTATAGTCATTTGTTATATGTGGTATGTAGTCTGGCAAGGTTAGGTGTGTGTGTATGTGTGTGTGAGAGAGAGAGACTCTTAGGAAATTTTTAACATGATTCTACATAAAGCTTTCTGTCTTTCATGTAGACCATCTGGCTTACCACTTTTGTTTCCTCCTTGTTCCTGGGATTGGACTATGGTTTGATTACAGCTGTGATCATCGCTCTGCTGACTGTGATTTACAGAACACAGAGGTGAGTGTACAAATTGGGATGGATGTCATTCTCCTGCCTAGAATTGCAGTGTTGACTTTAAATATATTCTATTTGTTGGGCACCTGGGTGGCTCAGTGGGTTAAGCTGCTGCCTTCGGCTCAGGTCATGATCTTGGGGTCCTGGGATCGAGTCCTGGCATTGGGTTCTCTGCTCAGTGAGGAGCCTGCTTCCCTCTCTCTCCCTCTGCCTGCCTCTCTGCCTACTTGTGATCTCTGCATGTCAAATAAATAAATTAATTAAATCTTTAAAAATATATATATATATATATTCTATTTGTTGACAGATGCCATTAGACTGGGAGCATCTTGATTGTGAAGGGGATATTCCCAGAGTCCAATCCCTGACATAGGGTGTATTCTGTGAAAGCTTGTTGAAGGAATTCACCCAGAAAAACAGTTCACAGTCATACCATATATTCTAACGCACAAAGCCCTGGTGCATACCGCTAAGAAGCACCAGGGCATTATGGCAAGTCCATGGAATGTGAGATCAAAGACCTTGAGCTGTATTCTGGCTTTGCCCATCCCTCTGACATTGAACAACTCACTCCACTGGGTCTCAGTTTCTCATCCACGCAGCAGCAGAAATAAGCCTCATGTGTAGGATATAATAAGGGAATATAAGGTGCTCAAGCACTAGTATATGTCATTGTTACAGAATCCAGTTTGAGCCACATTGTCCTATAAAAAGAGGAGGGATCTCGAAAATTAATGTTTAAAATCTATTCAAGCCAAACTTAAGAAAACTTCCTTCTAAGCTAATGAGATTCTTTTTGTTTTTTGTTTTTTGTTTTTCCCATACCTTCAGTTGATTACCACCTATAGGAGTCAGAGCCTCTTATTGGAAACCAAAAGAAAGATCTCCTCCCCTGCTTTAGAATGAGAGTAGGAAGACAATTCTATTGAGTGGATGAGAGTTGGAGTTACACATTCCCTGGCATGGCTTGAACTCTGCACCATTCACTTTTGCTCCCATCTTTAAATGCCCAGGTCTTTTGTTCTAACCAGAGTGTGTGTGTGTGTGTGTGTGTGTGTAGAGTGTGTGGATGTGTGTGTCGTGTGTGTCTGGGGCAGGCTGTGGAGGCAGTCCAGGAAAGGCCCTGGGAATGTGATCCATGTGAAGCTCTCTGCAAAGAATGCCCCTAAGCTCACAAACAAGTCCATACATGGCATGTAAACTTTGCAACTTCCTGTTTAAATCACATATGGGGCCTGGAGACAATGGCGTTTTTATACGCTGTCCCTCTGTCTTTAGTCCCAGCTACAAAGTCCTTGGACAGCTTCCTGACACTGATGTGTATATCGATATCGACGCATATGAAGAGGTAGGACTTTTTTCTCATTTTAAATGGTAGTAAGCCAGATAAATAAAATCTTTAATAAATTAAAAATAAATATTTGTAAGCATGTCATGGTATTGGCTGACTAAATATCATTTTTACGGAAGACAAAAAGTGGGGCTGAAAAGGAGGGGTGTTGCATTTAGAATGAAAAGCATTTAGAATGAGTTTACTGTCTGGATTCAGTTTTAGAGTTTCTACTCTACATTAATTACTCAACTTCCTAATATTTACTTTCCCTCTTTCTTTAATGAGGATAAATAGATATTCTTGGAATTAAAATACATATTTACCAAATACTGAACCTAAGAGGATGGTTTGTACGTGCACAATTTTGCACCTTCAAAATTGTGCAGTTCCTTGATTTGGACTCTCATTAGGGGGCATCTAGAAGACTTGTATAAAACCTTTTTAAAATTAGCTTTGTCTCTTTGGTTTGCCTTATGTTTGGGAAGAAATTCTCAGACTCACAATGAGCTACTGGGAAATGAGACCGGTATTTAGATTGTTCAATCTTCCTCCCTCTAAAGAATTCTGTTGTAGGTTTGTCACTTCCAAGCTGCATTCTAGAGTTCTTCCAGGCTCCTGGGTAAAGCATTCACTCTGTTGAACTTAGGTCTATTTCAGCTCCTGCCTGCATTCCAGGGATGAACCTGCCCTCCCTACCCATTTGCTTTCTTTCAACTGTAACAGTTTTCTGTTCCTTCTTTGCGCTTTATGGTGAATATGAAACAAAGACTCTTAAAAGAAATGTGAAGATGTGCATATGAAAGGCTTTCTCCTCAGACCTCCTTCCTCCAGGGCACGAGTAGGTAGGCTAGAGGGATGGGATTTTATCTAAACATGAAGAGGGCTGTTAGGGACCTCTGCATTGATTTTTCAGGTTAGAGGAGGGAGGCGGGTGCAGCTTTGACTCTGAAATATTTCCTTGTGTTAAATTCACTAACATTTTATTTCTCAGGTGAAAGAAATTCCTGGAATAAAAATATTCCAAATAAATGCCCCAATTTATTATGCAAATAGCGACTTGTATAGCAGTGCTTTGAAAAGAAAGGTGAGTCCCAAGAAACTGATTATTTTTGAGGGGACCTGTGGATTGACAGGAATGTGAGGGACAGTTAAATGTCTTGATACACCTTTTATACTATTTCATTCTCTCTCTCTCTGTAAATGGTAAAATACTCATAAAATTTACCATTTTCAGTAAATTCAACATTCAGCAGATGGAATTAAGTACATCCACACTGTTGTACAACCAACACCACTAACACCACTAGTCATTCTCTTTTATCATGAGCACCTACTACCTTTTCGAAAAAAAAAAATTAAGAAAAAGAGTGAAAAAATAATTTTAGGTGTCTTACTTTTCAGATCATGTGGGTTCCTTTTGTCATGATTAAAACTGGACTCCACACCACCCAGCATATAAGAAAATCTCCCAATCAACCCACAGAGTCTCTTAAATATAAGAATCTGATAGTACAGGATGCCTGGGTGGCTCAGTCATTAAGCGCCTGCCTTCGGCTCAGGTCATGATCCCAGAATCCTGGGACAGCCCCGCATCGGGCTCCCTGCACAGCAGGGGAGCCTGCTTCTCCCTCACCCATTCCCCCTGCTTGTGTTCCCTTTCTGTCTGTCTGTCTTTCTCTCTCTCTCTGTCAAATATGTAAATAAAATATTTTTAAAAAAGTATCTGAGAGGGGCGCCTGGGTGGCTCAGTGGGTTAAGCCGCTGCCTTCGGCTCAGGTCATGATCTCAGGTTCCTGGGATCGAGTCCCGCATCGGGCTCTCTGCTCAGCAGGGAGCCTGCTTCCCTCTCTCTCTCTCTCTCTCTCTGCCTGCCTCTCCATCTACTTGTGATCTCTGTCAAATAAATAAATAAAATCTTAAAAAAAAAAAAAGTATCTGGGAGTACATTTGAAAAGTACTCCTTTAAAAATTCTCTTTGATACTTTAGGGTGTTCCCTGCTGCATCCTGCTAAATGCACATTAGGATAAGGAGAGTTACTCATGTTTCTTTAATGAAGGAGTCACTCAGCTCAGGGTGCCTGAGGGAAAGATAGAGCAAGAGGTGGGGTGATAACTTGGCTCCAAAACAGTCACAGGGGAGATTTGAAATGTATTGCATTGGGGTGGGTTCCTGGGTGCCAAGAAGTGATTTTGCATGGATTGCTCTTCTGTAAAGACGGGAGTGAACCCAGCACTCATAATGGGAGCGAGAAGAAAGGCCATGAAGAAGTATGCTAAGGAAGTTGGAAATGCAAATGTGGCCAACGCAACCGTTGTCAAAGTGGTGAGTGGTCTCCTAGCTGTAGCTTTCCCTCTTCCCTTGATCTGCACCTCCCCCCACCTTCATTTGTGATTGAAGTCTTAATGCAACAGGAAGCCCCTAAAAAAGGAAAGCTTAGAAACAATCGAATTACCCTTTATATATTAAAGATACATGGTAAGGTCAGTTATGAGAATGCTTCTGAGAAAGGTAGGGATATGAACCCCAGAAAACATTGTTTTAAAAAAAATACAGATCACACAATAGTACCTTAATAAGTTGTACCAGGGTGCTGCGTCAGAGATTCAGTCAGCTGATAGTAAAAACAAAACAAAACAACCTCAAAGGCTGGATTTTGTTGTTCAAGCATGTGGTAACTGTGGCCATGCTGAAGTTAACGGAACTGTTTTAGAAGTGAGCAGAAATTGGATATGCTGACTAAGGAGAGTGGATTTCATTGGACAAAACCAAGAGGAGGAAGAGAAAAAAGAAACTGAGCCAAAACTGAATATTATGTACACATCCTTTTTCTGTCCCATTACAAGGTGGGGGATATGGCAGATATTTTAGAAGAGGTCTGGTGGAGTCAGTGGCTTGATAGGGCGGGGACTAACTTTCCTGTATAAATATTTCTCAGAACCAACATGTGCGCTGTTCATAGACTTCTGGTTTGGTTTACCTGTTGACAGGACGCGGAAGTAGACGGAGAAGATGCCACAAAGCCTGAAGAAGAGAATGATGAAGTAAAATATCCCCCGATAGTCATCAAGAACACATTCCCTGAGGAACTGCAAAGATTTATGCCCCCTGGGGAGAACATTCACACCATCATTCTGGATTTCACGCAGGTCAACTTTATTGACTCTGTTGGCGTGAAAACCCTGGCTGGGGTAAGCATCCCCTTAGATGAGGCCTTTCGTAGCTCTATGCTGTCAGTAAAATCAGAGAGTTGAACTAGGGTCCCCTTTCAACTCTTAAAATTCTTCTTTGAGGTTGTTGTTGTTTTCAACTTTTGACTGTGGAAAATTTCAAAACCATACCAGAGTAAAGAGCGTGGCGTAACGAGGCCCACCACCACAGCTCATCAACCTGTGGGCAGTCATGCTGCATCCAAACCCCCCAACCTCCCACCACCCCCCACCCGCTGGCCCCTTCCCCAACCCAAAGCACATTCCCGCCATCGTTCTTTGTGAATATGTCAGGGGATAGCTCTACAAGAAGATTCTTTTACCAATCAGTACCCCAACCCCTTTATTACACCTACATAAAATCCAAAAAGAATTCTTTGATTGCCCTCATGATCACCGTCCATATGAAAATTAAGAGAAATACAAAATTAGTTTTAAACGTTTAGCTCAAAGATGTGTAATTACCAAAGCGAAATAGCTCAGGTGAAGGCACTAGAGACTTGTGTCACTAAGTACAGACTGGTAGAGACTTGCCTCGGGCCCAGAGCCGAGAGAAACTAAACTTTATTTCAACATTATTACAGATTGTTAAAGAATATGGAGATGTCGGTATTTATGTGTATTTAGCAGGATGCAGCGGTGAGTACGCTTCTAGAATGGGGAGAAGTTTTAACATTTTGGGTTCATTTCTCTCTTTTTTTAATAACTTTTAAAAAGTTTGGAATTATTTTCCCTGAATTTTAGTTTCTGGCAGAAATGAAAATTATTCAGGGGAGGGAAGGGGGAAAAAAGAAAATTATTCTTCTGAAAATCACTTTGAAGCTAGCTTTGGAATTAGTCACTCACACACCCCTCTCCTGGGCTGTGGTGGCAGGCCTCCTGACCTGGACTTGGAGGGGAGGAGCTCATCAACCACTGTTCTGGGCCGGTACATTTTTTAGTAATTCTTTAACGGCAGCCCTAAACATAGTTCTGTAAAATCATTTAGGTTTTTCCATGACAATGCCTGCTGTTTTTGCTTCATAATAAATTTTGTTTGAAACTGTACCTGCAAATGAAATCTACATAAAGGCATCACTTTTCCCCCCGCCAGGATGGCAAAAAGGAGGAATGGCCGACAGCATGCGCCGTAGGCACTCCTTGGAGAACAGGGACTCCCAGACGTTGCTGGCAGGAGTGCAAAATGGAACAGCCTCTGCGGAGGGCAGAGTGGCGTTACCTTTCCCAATTACAAACGCACTTTACCCTTTAACCGAGCAAATCTGGCAATGAGCTGTACATGCTCAAAATGACACGCATACGTGGTTGACCATCTAAAAGCAGTTCTAGAAACTGATTATTGTCTATAAAAAAAAAGGCTGGAAAAAAGTGTCAAAGAAAAGGGACCGCTTAAATAAACGAGGATATATCCACACAATAGAATACCATGTAGTGGTTAAAAAATAATAATTTTTAAAAATCCAGAATTTTATATATGTAAAATGCTAAGGAGTTACTTTGGGTAAGAAAAAAGGGAAAAATAAAAACATATATTTATGTTTACTTATATTTGCACAAAGAACTACTGAAAGAATATGTAAGAAAATAGTTTCCTGGATAAAGAAAATGTGATATGTGTGTGGGTGTGATATATATACTGATGTGTACTACATGCACACACACACGCTGGAATATTAGCCATCAAAAAGAATGAAATCTTGCCATCTGCAATGATGTGGATGGAACTAGAGGGTATTATGCTAAGGGAAATAAGTCAGAAAAAGACAAATACCATATGATTTCACTCATATGTGGAATTAAATAAAACAGAGTAAAGGAAAGAAAAATAAGATAACAGAGAAGAAGGCAAACCATAATGGAGGGGGATGGGGTAACTGGGTGATGGGCATTCAGGAGGGCACTTGTCAGGATGAGCACTAGGTATTGTATGTAAGTGATGAATCACTACATTCTACTCCTGAAACCAATTTTACCATATATGTTAACAACTACTATTTAAAGAAAAAGTTGAATTAAAAATTTGAAATTTAAAAAAAAAAGGAAAATAGTTTCCTGCTACTACTGGGGTATGATATCATGGGGACAGGATTGGAGTGACACTTTTTACTCTATCATTATAATATTTAAACTATAGAAGAGTGCTCTTTTTTTTTTTTTTTTAATGGTCAAGATGGATACCCAGAGTGTGGACTGATTTTCCTTTCTTCTTTTATAGCCCAAGTTGTAAACGACCTCACTCAGAATCGATTTTTTGAGAACCCGGCCTTGAAGGAGCTTCTGTTCCACAGCATTCACGATGCGGTGCTCGGCAGCCAGCTTCGGGAAGCCCTCGCTGAGCAGGAGGCCTCGGCTCTCCCTCCCCAGGAGGACTCGGAGCCCAACGCCACTGCCGAAGCATAGATGAAGACCTCGGCTGGGACGGGGTAGGCGCCTCTCGTGAAATGACTCATCGTTACACTGTTTAAGTACTACACACTAGTTTTTTCTTCCTAAGGGTAAATATCAGTAGTCAAGGCTTGATTTGGAGGGTGAATGACGCATAGAAAGGTGTATCTTACTTGTGGGGGTTTTTTTATTGAATATTTCAAGGTAAACTGTCCTCTTGTCTGCATTTCTCGTGCAGTGACTTTTTTTTTACTTAAATTCGATTAGCCAACATAGAGTACATCCCTAGTTTCTGATGTAGTGTTCAGTGATTCATTAGTTGCGTGTAACACCCCGTCCCCATCACAACACATGTCCTCAATTTCCCAGTTTCCCCATCCTCCCACCCACCTCACCTTCTCCAACCTTCAGTTTGTTTCCCAGAGTCAAGAGTTTCTCATGGTTTATCTCCCTTTCTGACTTCTTCCCATTCAGTTTTCCCTCCCTCCCCATGTGGTCCTCTGCGCTATTCCTTATGTTCCACATATGAGTGAAACTGTATGATAATTATCTTTCTCTGCTTGACTTATTTCACTCAGCATAATCCCCTCCAGTTCCAGCCATTCCAATGTAAATGGTGGGTATTCATCCTTTCTGATGGCTGAGTGATGGTCCATTGTATGAATGAACCACATCTTCTTTATCCATTCATCTACTGAAGGACATCTTGGCTCCTTCTACAGTTTGGCTATTGTGGACATTGCTGCTATGAACATTGGAGTGCAGGTGCCCCTTCCTTTCACTATATCTGTATCTTTGGGGTAAATACCTAGTAGTGCAATTGCTGGGTCGTAGGGTAGCTCTATTTTTAACTTTTTGAGGAACCTCCAGACCTTTTTCCAGAGTGCCTGTACCAGCTTGCATTCCCACCAAGAGTGTATAAGTGTTCCCCTTTCTCTACAACCTCTCCAACATTGGTTGTTTCCTGTCTTGTTAATGTTAGCCATTCTGATTGGTGTGAAGTGGTGTCTCCTTGTGGTTTTGATTCGTATTTCCCCGATGACAAGTGATGTGGAGTATTTTTTCATGTATCTGTTGGCCATTTGTATGTCTTCTTTGGAGAAGTGTCTGTTCGTGTCTTCTGTCCATTTCTTGACTGGATTATTTGTTCTTTGGGTGTTGAATTTGATAAGTTCTTTACAGATCTTGGATACCAGCCCTTTATCTGTAGTGTCATTTGCAAATATCTTCTCCCATTCCATGGGTTGCCTTTTTAGTTTTCTGTGCAGCTTTTTATCTTGATGAAGTCCCAATAGTTCATTTTTTGTGCAGTGACATTTCTGTTACTCTTCAGTATTATCTTTATAAACTGAGCACTTAAGTTATTTCTTTTTTACCTACAAATCAGATATGCTGTCCCCAGGTGGGTAGTGGCTCCTTGCTCTTATACTTCATTTACAGGACTTTTGTAATCAGATTTATCTAACAGAAGGAACAAACACACAATTTTCTAGAAGTCCTTTTAAAACAACCTTTTATTATTAAACAGCCAAAAAATTAGAAAAAAAAAAAGAAGAAACACATTATATTGCTACCACTCAGAGATTATCACTAACACTTTAATGCACTTCCTTCCACATCTTTTTATGTGTATATATATTTTCCTCTTTTAACCAAAGGAAGATCATATTCAACAGTGCTCTATAATCCATTGTTTTCAATCAATATTCCTTGCTTTCTCATTCCAGAATACTTTCACCTCAGACCATACATTCAAATATCCAGCCATCCTCAAATTTGTAGTTAACCAGCTGTAGTTGGTCTGTCCAAACTAGTACCCATTTTGTGACCAGCACTACAACTGGTCATGTCCCTTCAAGTCCCTTAGGTCCATCTTAATCCAGCATAGTCCCTTTTATGACATTGGGTTGTTTAAAGAGATTGGGGCAGTTGTCCGGTAGAATCCTATCTTGTTTTTTCAATATGTAATTTCTCCTGTCCCTTTATTTCCCGAACTACCTGTAATCTAAAAGTTATATCTAAAAGTTTCATGGATTGAAATAAAACATATTTTTGCTGGAATTTTTTTGCTGTTATGAGACATATGCTTTAAATCTCTTCACATTAGAAAACACAAACTACCTAGTTGACCTACCATTAACAACGCTAAGGTAGATCACCAGATTAACAGGACAGCTTAATCCCCCACTTACACTTTACCGTCCGTGACTAGTGAGTTGCCTATATGATGCTCCTTTGGCATTGAACGAATGCCCAGTTCCCCATTACCCTTTAGGGGGTTTAATATCTACTAATAATCCTTGCCTGAATCAATAATTTTATTAAGGTTTGATTTTTTTTTCCATTTCTCTCATTTCTTCAGCATTTATTAGTTCCTGTTTCTTTATAAACTACAACTATTCTCTCTTCCACTTGAGCTATTTGGTCATCCTTAAATGCATCTTTTACTGGGAAGGTAGGTTAAACATTTTATTTTTTCCATTTAATTATTATCTTCAAAGTAAGGAGTTGGTTTAACAGATGACAAATTAGGTCCTTTTATATCTCTTTTTTTGTGTGTAATTATAGGCTCATGGATTTTTTTTTTAAGATCGTATTTATTTATTTGCCAGAGAGACAGAGAGGGAATATAAGCAGGGCGAGTGGGAGAGGGAGAAGCAGGCTTCCTGCTGAGCAGGGAACCTGATGGGGAGGCTCCATCCCAAGACCCTGGGATCATGACCCGAGCTAAAGGCAGACACTTAACCAACTAAGCCACCCAGGCACCCCAGGCTCATAAATTTTTATAGTTTTAATGTTCTTCAGTTCATTATAATTATTCTTTTGGGGGTTCAAATTGTCACAGCTGTGACCAGAAGTTTTGTTGTTGGTAATAGTAAAGTAAACTTAAAGACCATTTATTTAAGAGAGGTAACTCCTAGGTATAATTTAATATCTTCCTCGGATGTCCATACAAGTTATCAGTTAATTCTTCCAAGCCTGTGAGTGAGTAAAATGCCTATTTCAAGCACTCTTAAAGTTGTCAGAAGGAGTGGGGGAGAACTTTAAGCCAATTTGTCATCAAAAGGTCTTACTCTTATAGTTCCAACTACTGCTTTATTCCAAATCAAAGCACAAATATGCCTAAAGCCTCCTCTGCTGAGATTTCCTGCTGATAATCAGGGTTGTTGTTGGTTTTTTTTTTAAAGATTTTATTTATTTGAGAGAGAGAGAGAGTGAGAGCATGAGCGGGGGTTGGGGGGAGAGCAGGGGAATAGAGAGAAGCAGGCTCCTGCCTTCAGCAGGAAGCCCCATGCAGGGCTCAGTCCCAGGACACCGTGATCATGACGTGAGCTGAAGGCAGACGCACAACTGACTGAGCCACCCAGGCACCCCTAATAGTCGGTTTTTTAACATTTTCATGACTTCTTGTTTTAGTTTCCCTGAAGAAAACACTGCCAAGAGAAAAGTGGTCGGATCCCAGGAAAGAACTGTTAGCATGGGTCTGCTCCAACCAAAACCTATGGCTTAACTGTTGGGTCTCTTAGTAGCTTTACTAATTTAATTCAAAGTAGACCCCTCCTTTCTAATCAGTTCTTAATGTAGATCTAGAGTGAATCAGATTCGCATCCAGTTAACTTCTTTTGCAGTCCCCACAAGATCAGATACATCTGTATTCGGATACAGACTGCCTTCTCAAAGAGCACTTAGCTGTAGGACATCAGCTTTAGTGGAGGTTTTTGTAAAAAGACCTGCACCATTTCAGCCACTAAAGCAGAACTTAAGAATTTTAAACAATGTTATGAAATACTTCATTGCATATACCTGAGCAACCGTCTTCAACAAATGCTTTACACGCACGTGCGGTAGATATTAACAGCCTTGTTGTTTGTGGATTGAAAACAGTGTACAAAAATAGTATTTACCTGTATCTAACTGATTTGTACTTAACTTTTTGTTCTTTAATTTTCAACCTATTTTGAGAATTTTACCATGTACATAAAAAGCATTCATGTCTTACTGAAGGGAAATCTGTTTTTGTTTCAGTATGCCTCTGAGAATGTAAGAGTGCATTTCAAGATGTTTTATTTCTATGTGAATATGTTGGCATGTTTTACTGAAAGTTATTTAATATACTAGAAAATTTCCTGAGCTCTTTTAAGTATGCCTCTAGGTTCTTCTTTCTGGATCTTAATAGCTATCAGTATATGCTTTCTGTGTTACTCAGCCCTGGTTCACATTCAGTCTTAATGCCCTGTCAAAGTGGGCATAATCCACAATGACAAATACCAGACTTGGCTAGTCTTATTTTACAACAATATGGGAAAGCCCTGCCTTCAGGAAGAGTCCCACACAGAGAAGCTCTTTGTCTCTCTCAGATCCTACACAATGTAACAGTGGTTGATTTCTGCCTCAGGGCGTAGATGGAATATGTTTGAAAATAATTACGAACCAGGGCCCGGGAAACAAATTCATGACACAGACATTGATTCTATGTAAAGTATCTGTCAGCTTACAGTGGGATCCCACTCCCCAGTCTCATCTGCAGTGGGACTCAAAAGAATTGGAAGGGTAGGAATTCTCTACAAGCCCTGGGAGTAGCTCACTGTAGTTTTCAGGTAACATCTAAAATACCCATTCCATGTGGTTTGATCCTGTATTCTTAATTGTTCAACAGAGAAAAGGAGGTGCCTGCCTCCAAAGGTACATTTTGAGAAAATGAGTCTGCCCTCACATGTGCATGAAGGAGAGGGTAAACAAACGCAGAGAACCTGCCCTGGAGTGTGTAGGTGTGTTTTTCTGTTTTGGGGGGTGGGTGGGGTGGCCTTGCATATGCCCTCGTGAGAGGCTGAGGGAGAGGGAAGATAGAGTATGGGGTAGGGAAGGCTTTATCTATAATGTCTGCCCCTTTAAAGATAGTAAATCAACTTAAAATTTAAAATCAAATAACGTCCCTGGTGTGAGCCTATGTGCTTTGAGTGCAAAAATGCTGTTGGTCCATTTTAGTGTATCTTTCAGGAACATCTTGGGCATTCACTATGCTTAGATTCTTGATAATATGGTTTGAGTGTTGGTAAGAGCTGGTTAGAAAACTGATAAAAATACTGCCTTAAGTCTCCATATAGCCAACCAAAATGCATGCGATGGCTTTGAAACCCCTCAAATCCCAACACGTTCAAATGCTTAGCCCTATAGCAGGTAACCTG